GAATAATCAATCCCGCGATTTTAGACTCAAATGACTTACAAAATTTAATCAATAAACATTCCACAAATGTTACTATAACCGATCTAATGGAAGTAGCTCAAATTAAAGTTTTATTAAATAATAACTGTTTACACTTTATATTAAAATATCCTAAGCCCTACATAGCTTGTAAGAAAATAATCTTGCACCCCGTTGAACACAACGGCACTATTCTTAATTTTGCTGAAGGCGATAGTATAGCTGACTGCGGTAACAAAATCATGCCGATTGGAAACTGCAGCGCTGCCCTTACGACAACATTCTGCAGAGAACTGCCCTATGCAACATGCGCAAAACAACTCCACTCAGGAGGCAACGCACACTGTTCGACTCGCACCAGCCACCTCGAGCCACTAACAATCATCGATGACGGCGTTATTATTCTCAATGACGGAACAGCTACGGTCAATGGACAACTGGTAACTGGAACGTTCCTCGTTACATTCGACGAGGAGGTAAAAGTAAACAACACCTTATACCGAAACTTGAAGAGCTACGTAAAAAAATTCCCAGCACCCGCTGCATCAACGGTCCTTAACATTACAGACCATCAGGAAATACTGAGTTTACCATACTTACAGAAATTAAACATAGAAAACCTACGATACATTGGCGAAATGAAAAAGAGACTGGAAAACCGGCCTATAATATCTGGAGTGGCCGCGATCGCTTTCTTCGCCATCTGCTTTATCATTTTCAAGCTCTACCAAAGACGCCAGCGAGTTCGTCGCCAGCATGACCTTCAAGTTATTATTGACGGTTTCAAGAAGTCCGAGGACGTCCTTCATCTAAGCTGGGGAGGAGTTAACACGGTCACCCGGCAACAGAGAAGTTGCCAAACTGATCACGCGTAGCCGGCATGAGAATAATGCAAAGCCAGCGACACCTGCGGATATTGCACAACGACGGTAGCAGAAGCCCAAGCTTCGGTCAGCGCTATCAACGGGCAATGCACTGCGACGCAACCGACGGCTACCCAACACCACACACGGGGCGCCGGGTCAGCACTTTCAGGGCATAGGGCTAGCTTTTATTATAAGAATTTATGTACTTAGTATTTAGTTGAATTTTGGAAATAAATCGTGACGGTCATCACCTCCCGAAACCTAAGTCTTCTCATTCGCCCAGTACCGCGCGTCTTAAGTAAAAACCTGAATAAGGAAATAATTAATTTATACATCCGCTACGGAAATGCAACCGATTCCTGAGGCTCAGTTCAGAGAAGCGTCTCCGAGCAGTACTGGTGAACAAGTACTGCCACAATTGTTTGGCTCATCAGCACTCCGGAGGGAAATGTCTCAGTGGCGACGTTTGCAAAAAATGTGGACAGGAGCATCACACCTTGCTCCACATGCACGAGATGCCCGCGATAACTCGCCGATCGCCTTTCCAGCAACGTCGACAGTCGCCTTCCCCGCAACGCCACCAGTCGCCGGCCCCGCAACGTCGCCAGTCTCCGTCCCCGATTCGTCAGCAGTCACCACAGCAGCAGGCATCGGCATCGCAGTATCGATCGTCTGCCCCACCGTCTTTTGTGGCCCCATCCGTGACCTCGCTCCTGCAGCACAGGAGTATACATATTCTGCCGAAGGCCATTGTGGTCATCGACACAGGGGCCAACAGCTATGAGACGGGCGCCCTCATCGACCCGTGTACCCCCGTGAGCAGTATCGATAGCTCGCTGGCAGAAGCTTTTCGGCTGCAGACCACTCAAGTTGGAGACGAACGAGTGTCCTCAACGACCATCCGGTCGAGGTCGGGCGATTTTAACATGGATATGGTCCTGAAGATCGACAACAGCCTGCGAATCCGAACACCGATTCGTGCGCTGAGCGATGAGGTTCGGGCTAAATTCGATACCATCCGACTAGCCGATGACCAGTTCCATCGTCCAGCCACCATCTCCCTGGTGTTGGGATCCGACGTGTACCCGAAAGTGATCCAACCCTGGTTTCTAAACCTTCAAGATGGGCTGCCCGTCGCTCAGAGCACGGCGTTTGGATGAATCGTGTCGGGAGCCTGCCATCAGTCCTGATGTCCTGCTTCAAGGAACTCTTCCGCAGGGGGGGAGAATGTTCGCGCCAAGCGGCGCTTCCAGTTCCGGGTGAACCGGAACCCTGGAGTCCTAACAGTCGAGAGAACAGTTTTTTCCAGATCCTCGCATCTCGTTCTCTCGCACTGTTAAGTGTCTCCACTCCGCTCTCCAAGCGGCCTCTTGAAACCTCCACCCCGTAGCATTAAGTTAGTTCTAATCTACCAGTGTACGAAGAAAGAGTGAAGTTCAACAAAAAAGTGAAATAAATTCTACGTAAAGTGAAGATAAAATAATTTTTCCTGGACTATATTTTATAAACATTTGGAGAGCCGCCCTACGTCATTTCAGTAACAAATCAAGTATATTATACATGTATAAATGTTTGTTTTTTGTTTTATTATAATTTCATATTTTATTTCATTTTAATTGCTCCATGTTGTGAGTACGGTATGCGCCTAGGAAAGAGTGGAGCAACACCTAATGCTGCCATACGGATGGAGCACTAATTAATTAAAAGTATAAACTGCATTTTTTGAATTGGCGCCTTCCTGTTTAAAAGTTACCCGCCATTATTTTGTTAAATTTTCGTAGTGAATGTTCCAATTTCCACTGTCAAGAAGAAGAACTTAGAGTTGCACCAAAAAAAACATCGCCTAACTATCGCATAAAAAAGTCGTCAAATTTCGATGGGGAACAAACTGGGAATTTTCGGAACGGCAAAACCTTATGGACCATCCGTTCAACGGATGGTGGATGGAGCTCTGTGGGTAGAGGGCATTAGTCTATTAGGCTGGAGTTTTTAATTACATGGAAATTTTCCATTGGTTTGTTGACCATTAGGTTTCGATTTCTCTGAGGGTGTCTTAAAGTAATGTGTACGTGTGTATGTATGTGTGGATGTGTAGACACTTATGCCCTCTTCCCATAGAGTCCATCCGTCTGAAACGGTTGGGATTTTTGACAAATGTGAAACTCCGATTCCCACAGAGCACATCCACCATCCAGCTGATCTGAACAGCTGTGGCTCATTATTTTAGCCCGTTGCATTTTGCACAACATTTAAAATGAGCACAACAGCGTTATAAATGATACTTGGTAACAGACTGCAAGTGATCTACGCGAACAATCAAAACGAACTAATACGTCTGCAGATTTTTGCCAGCCTGCAGACAAAATATGAACAGCTATTGCCCAATATTGTCTAAATGGTAACAAATCAAGTTCATTATATATAAATGTTTGTTTTTTGTTTTATTATAATTTCATATTTTATTTCATTTTAAATGTTCTGCTTAATGTTGTGAGTAAGGTATGCGCCTAGGAAAGAGTGGAGCAACACCTAATGCTGCCACACGGATGGAGCAGTAATTAATTAATTATTACAAGTATAAACAGCATTTTTTGAATTGGCGCCTTCCTGTTCAAAAGTTACCCGCCATTATTTTTTTTAATTTTCGTAGTGAATGTTCCAATTTCCACTGTCAAGAAGAATAACTCAGAGTTGCACCAAAAAAACATCGCCTAATTATCGCATAAAAAAGTACGTCAAATTTGGATGGGGAACTAACTGGACCTTATGGACCATCCGTTCAACGGATGGTGGATGGAGCTCTGTGGGAAGAGGGCATTACATAATATATTATATATAATAATATATTATTTTATATATTATATATAATATGAGAATATTCAGAAATCATGTTCGGTTTAATTTTATTTTGTATTTTTAGTTTCATATTTTTATTTTTAATATTTTTTTCTTTAAATATAAATTTATATCACTAAATCATATTCATTAAGACACCGGAAACTATGTATTTATTTGTATTTTAAATTCCTTTTCCTTAAATATATGCATAATTAGTTTAGAAGTTAAATGTTATTGATCTAGCATTTTTTGGCTATTTTCAAAGAATTTTTAGCAATTTCTAGCAACTTTATTTTCAAAATCTAGCAATTTTTGCTTTGGTGTTCCTGGCAGCACTGGTGTGGTGTGATTTTTTCTAATGTTAATGGTTGCTTCCTTAAGCCTAGTATCCAGATCGACAAACGATTACGCTAGCGTAAAAACTTTAATCTTTCCAGTGTGCCCAAAATTTTAAGAGTTCATCAGATTTTACGGTCGTACTGTCAATCAGCTGGGTTTGTTGACAAGCAGTTAAAATTCAAATATCGTATTTGCGGGAAAGAGTCTTTAAAAGATATTATCAAATACCATGGCAAGACAAGTCTGACGCTGTACAAAGAAATTAAAAAATAATACAATTTAAATTTAACAGTTGTTTTTTTTAATTTACTGATAATTATTTGCTAATTTAAAGTTCATAGCTGCACTTTTATTGTGTTTTTTCGTACATTCTGGACCTAAAAAACATTTTGCTCTGACAAGAGGCACCCTAGATAGTATTAATGTTATTTTGTCCTCACATGTAAACACCTGCAATCGACTTTTGTGAGTTTTTTGAGTTTTTCCCTCCATTTCTTATAATGTTTAGTGAGAAGCGCACGCCAAAATATTAAATTTTTGTTATGGAACTGCATTTGGTCCTGGGACGGCGCCGGCTAGCTCCCGAATCCCCAGGGCGGAGTATCCCCAATATCCCTACAGTATCCACAACATAAACATCGATATACGCGCGTCTCACTTCACAAAAACTATCGCTCATCACTAACAATAGAGCTGGAAAATCATCGATGTTTACGTACATCGATGTTTCGTGTTTTCGAAAAACATCGATGTATCGATACATCGAACTTTTTTGGGTGTATTTAAAAAAAATTTTATTCTTTATAACATATTTTTTTTTACAAATTTTACAAACCAAAATTGTAAACAATGCAAACAATTATAATTGACTTAAAGGAAAGTAATGTGGGAAATCGTTTTGGTGGCTATCGATTGCATGTTGTACAAAGTAAATTATAATTGACTGGAAAAATGTGGTGTTTTGGTGGCTATCGATGACTTAGCCAAGCACGCCCACCCAACCAAGGCTGCCCCGGAGGATTCTGCGGAGGCATCACCCATAATCTGCTGGTCGAAGTCACTCCTCGCGACTAGGACAGCTCCATCTTCCCCATAGCGACAACTCACTCGCGCATTTCAGTCTTCATGTACATTTTAATTATCACCGTAAGTACTAAAGTTAACATAACTTGCTCTCCTAGTAATTAATTCATCTTTTCTTAGCCTTTACGACCAAACTTGGCCACCGTCTACAAATTTACGCGGTCAAAGCGGAAGATTACCTTCCTTTGGCAAAGGCTACAGGCGCTGCGGAAATAATGTTCCACCAGACATGTATTGGTGGGCACACACTAGGTATGTGTCAGGTCACCTAATCCTGAGGAGCTCCTAGGGAAAAGAAGGGACAGGCCAAACGGTAAGTATTACGCGCTGTAAACAATCCCGCCGAAAACTAATAATCGCGACCCTTTTTTACAGGTAACAATGAGGACAAGAATTGAGGTTGTCGGGTTTAAGTCCGGATAAATTTACAGGTCAACAGGTAAGTACATAAATTTAGTAATGTGCACAGTTAAATTAACATTAATAATTTCAGCCACTTCTGGGCTAGGCGCCGGCCTAAATATGCCCCGACTGCAGCGTACTCTGCCGGAGGCCAGCAGCAATAAGGGCCTGGAACACCCCGAGAAACGGTGGCGAAGGCGAGCCTGATGGCGGTGCCTCTCAACGCCGCGCGAAATGGGCAGCCAGTTACTCCAAGGCGACTTAACAGCCAGGAACGGACTCACCGGCGTATTTTAGACAGCGTTGGCGGCGTCCGAGGATGGCGAGTTATTGTGGTCCAAAATGTATCGCTTGGTTGAACGAAGGTGCGTATGGATATGGATGCCAATCTCCGAATTAAATATTCCAATTTAATTAGTCCAATTTAATCTTCCAATTTAAACTTCCAATTTAAATTTTCAGATCTAATTAGTCCAATTAAGTCTTCCAATTTAATCTCCCGGGGCCCTTTGTATTGGGACCCCGGTTGCCCTACGAATAATTATTTATAAATAAAATAAACTATTAAACCTAACACAAATTTTTCTAACACTCACTTTTTTTTTATATTTCGGCACAAACACTACTTCGACATTTTTATGTTCTGTCTGCTGGGACAATATGGCTGCGACTATATAAAAATTTGCCTATCATGCCTATATCTCGTCATATTCCCTTCGCCTCTCTCGAAATTGGGTCATTGGACATATCAAGGCCATCCTAGCCATACCCAGAGCGAACCGGGCTAGTTTAAATAGCTAGATAGCCAAGACATCAGCAGAAGGGGGCGCCACTCCAGTAGGAGTTGCCACCCTCCTACTTTATCAATAGCCCTACCAAAAACGAATACATCCTTCTTAATTCCTCCAGCCGATTCCAACTTGAAATGCAACATTTTTTAATCTTTTCGCTAGGGTTCACCCAAAGTTCATTTCCGCAGACTGGCAACGCTATGGAATTTTCTGGTATTTTTTTCGTCGATCTGTGGACCGACGTGAAAAAAAGACCCGTAGAAACGGACGGACAGAAGGACAGACAGACGAACGGAAGGACGGACGAACAGACGGACATGGCTAGATCGACTTTCCTGGTAATGATGATCAAGAATATATAAACTTTGCAAACTTTTGACTGAAACAATAATATCATCTGCAAGGGTATCAAAATTATAGATTCTGTGGCATCAAAGCCCACCTACAAATTCACTGCCTTACTAACCCCTACAACCCATCTAAAACTTATACAAATAAACAAGACATCTCAAACACTGGTCAAATTCTTCATTAAACAAGAAAGGAAAGCTAACTTCGGACGGAGCAGAAGTTGATATACCCTTGCAGAATATTCTGTAAATTATATTCTTCAAAATTATTCATATGATGTATTCTTAATACTCATAAAAAGTCCCAACTTCCTAACTTTAAAAACACCAAAGTTATGGCATTTCCAATCGTTCAGTTATATGGCAGCTATAGAATATAGTCGGCCGATCCTTATGAAATTTGATATGTCGGCCAAAACTAAAACCCATAGAAAATCCCAACTTCCTTACTTAACAAACACCAAAGTTATGGCATTTCCGATCAATCAGTTATATGGCGGCTCTAGGATATAGTCGGCCGATCCTTATGAAAATCCAAACTTCCTAACTTTACAATCACCAAAGTTATGGCATTTCCGCCCGATCCGGCTCGTTCCGATTTATATACTACCTGCAATAGAAAGACAACTTTTGGGAAAGTTTCAAGCAGATAGCTTTAAAACTGAGGGACTAGTTTGCGTAGAAACGGACGGACAGACGGGCGGACGGACGGACAGACAGACGGACGGACGGACAGACGGACGGACAGACGGACATGGCTAGATCGACTCTCCTGGTGATCCTGATCAAGAATATATATACTTTATAGGGTCGGAAATGTCTCCTTCACTGCGTTGCAAATTTTAACTGAAATTATAATACACTCTGCAAGGGTATAAAAATCATTGTGGTATTAGTGGAAACGAACACAGACCAAGCTGCTAAAGCCTAGTATCCAGATTGACGAAAACCGTACGCCAGTCATGAGAGAGAGCGAGAGGCAAAAAGCTGGTGTTCACTTTTCGTCGGGCCTTTTTTTCACAGATCGACGAAAAAATACCAGAAAATTCCAAAGCGTTGCCAGTCTGCGGAAATGAACTTTGGGTGAACCCTAGCGAAAAGATTAAAAAATTTAATCTATTGGCGTGCGCTTCTCACTGAACATTATAAGAAATGGAGGGAAAAACTCAAAAAAATCACAAAAGTCGACTGCAGGTGTTTACATGTGAGGACAAAATAACATTAATACTATCTGGGGTGCCTCTTGTCTGAGCAAAATGTTTTTTAGGTCCAAAATGTACGAAAAAAACACAATAAAAGTGCAGCTATGAACTTTAAATTAGCAAATAATTATCAGTAAATTAAAAAAAAACAAGAGAGAACGCTATAGTCGGTCGACTATCAGATACCCGTTACTCAGGTAAAGGGAGTGCGAGGGAGATGGAGATAGAAACTTTGATCACGCATAACTTTTTAACGAATGGTCCGATTTGAAAAATTTCTTCTACATTTCGATAGGTATTGATAAACACAATAAAACTGCATTTTTACTTTTCCGAAATATTTAAATTTTTAAAATCGTATATAAGCGATTGTGGGCGTTAAAGGGGGCGTGGCACCTTTTTGAAACAAACTTGCGCTGCGTAGGAACTCCTAGAATCTGCATGCAAAATGCCAATCTTCTAGCTTTTATAGTTTCCGAGATCTCAGCGTTCATACGGACGGACAGACAGACGGACAGACAGACAGACGGACAGACGGACAGACGGACATGGCTATATCGACTCGGCTAGTGACCCTGATCAAGAATATATATACTTTATAGGGTCGGAAACGCTTCCTTCTAGCTGTTACATACTTTTGCACGAATACAATATACCCTTTTACTCTACGAGTAACGGGTATAACAACTGTTAAATTTAAATTGTATTGTTTTTTAATTTCTTTGTACAGCGGCAGACTTGTCTTGCCAAGGTATTTGATAATATCTTTTAAAGACTCTTTCCCGCAAATACGATATTTGAATTTTAACTGCTTGTCAACAAACCTGATGAACTGTCAAAATTTTGGTCACACTGGAAAGATTAAAGTTTTACGCTAGCGTAATCGTTTGTCGATCTGGATACTAGGCTTATCTTCTTGAAACTTTCCCAAATGTTGTCTTTCTATTGCAGGTTGTATATAAGTCGGAACGATCTGGATCGGGTGACTATATCATATAGTTCCCATAGGGGCAATCGGAAAAAAATTTAAATAATATGGAATTGCGGTTTTAATTAAATTAAAATCGGACAACAATATCATATAGCTGCCATAGAAACGATGGCAAAATGCAGCGCAAAATCGACATAGCTTCATTGGTTTTATTAATATATCGATATCTATGCATCGAAATGTAGTCGTTTTGTAATAACTGCAAGGGTATATAAACTTTGGCTTGCCGAATTTTGCTTCCTTTCTAGTTTTTAATATTTTTACTGGGTTAAGATAGTTGTCCCACCAGGGGACTTGTTTAAATGTTTTTGGGTGGTATTTCGGGATAGATAGATGTGCGCTGTGCCGTATTATAGAGCAGAGACTAGCTGCTTCTTCGTTTATTTGTAAAGTAGTCTGTTATCAAAAAACTTTTATCTATATTAAATTTTGGTTTAATTACGGGGGAGTAAATTGGTTCGGTTTCAAAAAGATCAATCGAGATTGGGAAGTAGTCGTTTCCTGAAAGGTGACTGTAGTTTTATTTGCGGAGAGGCGATAGAGGGATCGATGTGGGTGATTGTGTGGCTTGTAGTAAAGTGGGTGGGGGAGCCATTATTAATAAAGACTGGTTTATAAATTTAAACAGTAGGTTTCCTCGTGGGTTATTGCTTTGTGAACCCCTGCTTTTATGACGACTGTTAAAGTCGCCTGTTATTAAGAGTGGGGTGTCAATTAAGTTCTAAGTGTCCTGTAATCCGTGTAAAGTGAATTTTTTGTTTGGTGGTATGTAGATAGAAATTGTGGTAAATTTAATTTTAGAATTCACAGTTACGGCTATTGAATCAAAGCTAATGTTACTAATTTGGGTTTGTTGTTGTTGCAATGAATTGTAAAGCTAAAGGGCTACTCCGCAATAGGGGTTGTTAGAATTGTGTGTGTGGTGAAGTTAATTGGGATGGGAGTATTGTTCGTAGAGTGAATATGAATGATGAATGATAAATGGATATAATTTTTGGTTATTATTTTTTTATAAGAATTTGCAGGTATTTATAATTATTGTGGTATCGATTAATGTTAAGTTGTAATATTTTTAGCATAAGGAAATTTAACTTAAAGCTAGATTAATTAATTAGTTATTCATAATATGAGGTCTAATTCCTAGTCGTTAGTCATTAGTTCGGATATCTTCTTGTTTTTTTCGTTTTCGTCTTTTGATTGATTTTTCTTAAGATTTTAAGGGGATTCCTAGTTTATTTGATTTAGCTGTGTATATTTTTAGTTTTGTTGTCACAGATTTCGGCGCGTGTGGTTTATTTAGATGTCAATGCAGTGGACATGGACACATGGGATCTTCCGAAGAGTCTTCGTAGGTGATGATTTGCCTTGAATTATGGATCGTTGTTGCCGAGCATGTATTTGAAGCTTTAGTTATGTGTGTTGTTGTTTCTGTAGTAGGTGGTGTGATGGCAGTGCATCTTTCAGAGAAAGGGAATTGGTAGGTCGATGTGATCGACTTTCTGAAGTGTTTTTGAAGGTCAGTTGTTTTAGTTTGATGAAGGCAGGACAAATCTGAGTCAGTTGTAACACCTCAACGAGGGACGTACTTGGACTTTCTGGACGACTTCATAACCTATCCATCATTTTTCAGGTAAGGTGATTGTTGCGAATGTCAGTAAGCCAGTTTCTGAGGTTTTATTGTTTTTTTTTCTAGGATTTTTCGGACTTCTATTCCGTAGGTCATTGAAGTAAACGACACCTTAGAAGCAGTAAGAGTTTTGTGTTCTTCGGCGCTAACTGAAAGTCGTGAAATTTTTTAATTTAAGGGGATAAATCAAATCGGTAAAGATCTTCTGCACGTTTCAACTTAATCTATGAATAAAAAAAGGCGATTAAAAAAAAAAAAGGTCCGCCAATTTGTTAATTTTTGTGCGAAATTAATAATCCTAGTTCATACCAAAGCCAAACATGTACTCTTCCTAATCCCGTTGAAATTTTTGGTTTCACATGTTCCAGTGAGCGGAAATCACATGCGACGCCGAAAAGTTTGTTTAACGACAAAAAACACAAAAAAAAAAGAAAAAATGATCTACAATTTTTCTTTTTTAAGACTTCAAATAAATAGATGCAAAGTTACAAGCCTAAAAAATAGTATATGTTCATTTACCAGCCTTATGAAAATAAACTGTCACTTGGGGATTAAATCGGTCACACGTCTTTGAAGCTCGGAGTGAAACTCTATTTTGAAGTTATTTTTCCATAACATTATTAATTAATTAGTAACATAATAAAATCGAAATCACGAGACAAATAAAATGTATTCGTTGTTTTCAGTTGTTTGGTTTTAAAATTATTTTCAAGTTTGTTTTGTATTTTTATTTTTTCTAACATATAGTCAAATATCCAAGTATAACTATTTGTATACCCTTAATTGTAACCTACATGTATAAGCTTAGCCTAAGAATAAATATAAGAAAGAAAGACATTACAATAAAAGCTCGGATCAAGTAGTCGCGTACAGACCGCACAAGTAACAGCTCGCTTTAAATAAATCATCTCTTTGAAACGATTTAAATGAGATTTAATAATTGGAACTTAATCTTTGCTAGCAATTAGACTTGTAA